AGACAGAGAGAGAGAGAGAGAGAGAGAGAGAGAGAGAGAGAGAGAGAGAGAGAGAGAGAGAGAGAGAGAGAGAGAGAGAGAGAGAGAGACAGAGACAGAGAGAGAGAGAGAGAGAGACAGGGAGAGAGACAGAGAGACAGAGAGACAGAGAGACAGAGAGACAGAGAGATAGAGAGACAGAGAGACAGAGAGAGAGAGAGAGAGAGAGAGACAGAGAGAGAGAGAGAGAGACAGAGAGAGAGAGAGAGAGACAGAGAGAGAGAGAGAGAGAGAGAGAGAGAGACAGGGAGAGAGAGAAACAGAGAGGGAGAGAGACAGGGAGAGAGAGAGACAGAGAGGGAGAGAGACAGAGACAGAGAGAATATTCAGTATTCAATGTTGAAAAGTATTTAAAGACTCTATAATCAAACCTGTGGATATCAATCCACACGCTGGATAACCAGAAGTTCAGCTATCCCAGGGTTCTGGCGTTTATTATCCAGGTTCTCATTGCTAAAGTGGCTATCTAGGTTATGTTATCCCTCTTCCACGCTATCCTTGGGTGATTGTAATGTTACTTTGGTATATCTTGGCTTAAGCCGTCGAGTGACCGACCAGGGAGTGCGTTCTCAACCTTGTTCTCCGGTGTTCAGCTTAAAATGATTTCTGTAAACACAGCTTAAATTAACGCTTAACACTAACTAGGATAACTTAGTTATCCATCAGTCGTATGATATTCAGTCTAGGATTACCACTGCTTTGGATATCCCGACTTAATTGCTGTTTGATTGGTTAATTGCACCATTGAGTAATTGGAAGATAAATAACCCTAGTTTTTATTGAATCCAGAGTAATCCAAGTAGTATGGATAACGTCCAATTAACGGGCCGAGAACAATCCCTCCCCCCCTCTGCATATTTTGTAGGACAACACAGCTGTTTTAATTGGCTCTGGAGAACATGAGGTAACTGTTCAGTCAGGTATTGAACCTGAACAGTTTCTGAATGACATCACGCCAGCACAGGTACCACGTGTGGCGGGCACCAATAGCAGGTGTGGTAAGGTAATTACCACGAGCGGTAAGCCAGTACAAGGATAGTCTAACAGCTGGAGGAACGAGGGTGTGGGAGGACATGTCACAGGTGTGGGGAGGGTCAGAGAGCATGTCACAGGTGTGGGGAGGGCCAGAGAGCATGTCACAGATGTGGGGAGGGCCAGAGAGCATGCCACAGGTGTGGGGAGGGCCAGAGAGCATGCCACGGGTGTGGGGAGGGCCAGAGAGCATGTCACAGGTGTGGGGAGGGTCAGAGAGCATGTCACAGGTGTGCTGAGGGTCAGAGAGCATGACACAGGTGTGGGGAGGGCCAGAGAGCATGCCACAGATGTGGGGAGGGCCAGAGAGCATGTCACAGATGTGGGGAGGCCCAGAGAGCATGTCACAGATGTGGGGAGGCCCAGAGAGCATGCCACAGATGTGCTGAGGGCCAGAGAGCATGCCACAGATGTGGGGAGGGCCAGAGAGCATGCCACAGATGTGGGGAGGGCCAGAGAGCATGCCACAGATGTGGGGAGGGCCAGAGAGCATGCCACAGATGTGGGGAGGGCCAGAGAGCATGTCACAGATGTGGGGAGGGCCAGAGAGCATGCCACAGGTGTGGGGAGGGTCAGAGAGCATGTCACAGGTGTGGGGAGGGCCAGAGAGCATGTCACAGGTGTGGGGAGGGTCAGAGAGCATGTCACAGGTGTGCTGAGGGTCAGAGAGCATGCCACAGATGTGGGGAGGGCCAGAGAGCATGCCACAGATGTGGGGAGGGCCAGAGAGCATGTCACAGATGTGGGGAGGCCCAGAGAGCATGTCACAGATGTGGGGAGGCCCAGAGAGCATGCCACAGATGTGCTGAGGGCCAGAGAGCATGCCACAGATGTGGGGAGGGCCAGAGAGCATGCCACAGATGTGGGGAGGGCCAGAGAGCATGCCACAGATGTGGGGAGGGCCAGAGAGCATGCCACAGATGTGGGGAGGGCCAGAGGGCATGTCACAGATGTGGGGAGGGCCAGAGAGCATGTCACAGATGTGGGGAGGGCCAGAGAGCATGTCACAGGTGTGGGGAGGGCCAGAGGGCATGTCACAGATGTGGGGAGGGCCAGAGAGCATGTCACAGATGTGGGGAGGGTCTGAGGACTTGTCACAGGTGTGGGGAGGGCCAGTGGGCATGCCACAGATGTGCTGAAGGCCAGAGAGCATGTCACAGATGTGGGGAGGATCTGAGGACTTGTCACAGGTGTGGGGAGGGCCAGAGAGCATGTCACAGATGTGGGGAGAGTCTGAGGACTTGTCACAGGTGTGGGGAGGGCCAGAGAGCATGTCACAGATGTGGGGAGAGTCTGAGGACTTGTCACAGGTGTGGGGAGGGCCAGAGAGCATGTCACAGTTGTGGGACAGGAGCTGGGACAGCGACCAAACGAGTGGAGAAAGCAGATCTGATCTGCAGGCTCCTCTGAGCAATTTGTGAGGAACCATGCTGCACATTGCATTAGTGACCTGTCCCACAGGTCCCACTGTAGCCAGGTCCCACAGGTCCCACTGTAGCCAGGTCCCACAGGTCCCACTGTAGCCAGGTCCCACAGGTCCCACTGTAGCCAGGTCCCACAGGTCCCACTGTAGCCAGGTCCCACAGGTCCCACTGTAGCCAGGTCCCACAGGTCCCACTGTAGCCAGGTCCCACAGGTCCCACTGTTGCCAGGTCCCACAGGTCACACTGTTGCCAGGTCTCACAGGGCACACTGTTGCCAGGTCCCACAGGTCACACTGTAGCCAGGTCCCACAGGTCACACTGTAGCCAGGTCCCAGAGGTCACACTGTAGCTAGGGCCCACAGGTCACACTGTAGCCAGGTCCCAGAAGTCCCACTGTAGCCAGGTCCCACAGGTCCCACTGTAGCCAGGTCCCACAGGTCCCACTGTAGCCAGGTCCCACAGGTCCCACTGTAGCCAGGTCCCACAGGTCCCACTGTAGCCAGGTCCCATAGGTCACACTGTAGCCAGGTCCCACAGGTCCCACTGTAGCCAGGTCCCACAGGTCCCACTGTAGCCAGGTCCCACAGGTCCCACTGTAGCCAGGTCCCAGAAGTCCCACTGTAGCCAGGTCCCAGAAGTCCCACTGTAGCCAGGTCCCAGAAGTCCCACTGTAGCCAGGTCCTAGAAGTCCCACTGTAGCCAGGTCCCAGAAGTCCCACTGTAGCCAGGTCCCAGAAGTCCCACTGTAGCCAGGTCCCACAGGTCCACTGTAGCCAAGTCCCAGAAGTCCCACTGTAGCCAGGTCCCACAGGTCACACTGTAGCCAGGTCCCAGAGGTCACACTGTAGCCAGGTCCCACAGGTCCCACTGCAGCCAGGTCCCACATTTTCCACTGTAGCCAGGTCCCACAGGTCTCACTGTAGCCAGGTCCCACAGGTCCCACTGTAGCAAGGTCCCACAGGTCCCACTGTAGCCAGGTCCCACAGGTCCCACTGTAGCCAGGTCCCAGAGGTCACACTGTAGCCAGGTCCCAGAGGTCACACTGTAGCCAGGTCCCACAGGTCACACTGTAGCCAGGTCCCACAGGTCACACTGTAGCCAGGTCCCAGAGGTCCTACTGTAGCCAGGTCCCACAGGTCACACTGTAGCCAGGTCCCAGAGGTCCCACTGTAGCCAGGTCCCACAGGTCCCACTGTAGCCAGGTCCCTATGTAGCCCGGTCCCACAGGTCTCACTGTAGTCAGGTCCCACAGGTCCCACTGTAGTCAGGTCCCACAGGTCACACTGTAGCCAGGTCCCACAGGTCCCACTGTAGTCAGGTCCCACATGTCACACTGTAGCCAGGTCCCACAGGTCCCACTGTAGCCAGGTCCCACAGGTCACACTGTAGACAGGTCCCACAGGTCCCACTGTAGCCAGGTCCCTATGTAGCCCGGTCCCACAGGTCCCACTGTAGCCAGGTCCCACAGGTCTCACTGTAGCCAGGTCCCACAGGTCACACTGTAGCCAGGTCCACAGGTCACACTGTAGCCAGGTCCCACAGGTCTCACTGTAGTCAGGTCCCACAGGTCACAATGTAGCCAGGTCCCAGAAGTCCCACTGTAGCCAAGTCCCAGAAGTCCCACTGTAGCCAGGTCCCACAGGTCCCACTGTAGCCAAGTCCCAGAAGTCACACTGTAGCCAGGTCCCACAAGTCACACTGTAGCCAGGTCCCACAGGTCACACTGTAGCCAAGTCCCAGAAGTCCCACTGTAGCCAGGTCCCACAGGTCCCACTGTAGCCAAGTCCCAGAAGTCACACTGTAGCCAGGTCCCACAGGTCCCACTGTAGCCAAGTCCCAGAAGTCACACTGTAGCCAGGTCCCACAGGTCCCACTGTAGCCAAGTCCCAGAAGTCACACTGTAGCCAGGTCCCACAGGTCCCACTGTAGCCAAGTCCCAGAAGTCACACTGTAGCCAGGTCCCACAGGTCACACTGTAGCCAAGTCCCAGAAGTCACACTGTAGCCAGGTCCCACAGGTCCCACTGTAGCCAAGTCCCAGAAGTCACACTGTAGCCAGGTCCCACAGGTCACACTGTAGCCAGGTCCCACAGGTCACACTGTAGCCAAGTCCCAGAAGTCCCACTGTAGCCAGGTCCCACAGGTCCCACTGTAGCCAAGTCCCAGAAGTCACACTGTAGCCAGGTCCCACAGGTCCCACTGTAGCCAAGTCCCAGAAGTCACACTGTAGCCAGGTCCCACAGGTCCCACTGTAGCCAAGTCCCAGAAGTCACACTGTAGCCAGGTCCCACAGGTCCCACTGTAGCCAAGTCCCAGAAGTCACACTGTAGCCAGGTCCCACAGGTCACACTGTAGTCAGGTCCACAGGTCACACTGTAGACAGGTCAGACCTATGGTAACATTCGTTAGTTTATATCATAAATATATATGATAGAAACATATATCATAAGTATATATATTATGTGTTATGAAGTCATTAACTGGGCCAGTAATATGAGAGAGATAAGTGGTTCTCTGGAGACCAGGATGGTATAGTGAGTAGGATTCTGTGAACAGGTGGTTAGCTGACTGAGGACTAAGGGCTTAATTAAGACGCTAGACGGTGTTTGAGGATATGTAAATATTTGGTATTTGTATATGTACTTATATGTATATTTGTATATGTAATTATTTGCGGTGTCAGTCTATTGTCCATGTGTGTGTCGGCGGCATCACGGTAACCTCACTTGACTAGTGCATGATGGGAACATGTTGACATGATAACATATAATGTGATATAAGGAATATTTCATGACGACGTTGATAGAGTCGTTACAACAGCTCCACTACACACCCACTGATGGACTCCTCATTAGTTAATAACCTACAGACATCAACCAGATGTTCCTGGTTGTATCACCATCCTCCTGCCCCCCCACCCCCCCTTATCATCCCTTCCCTTATCACTATCCCCCCCGTTCCATCCCTTATCTCTGTATCCTGACTTCAGCCATTAAATTAGTTTCTTTAGTTACTATCCTTCTTTGTGTTCCATTGTTAGACGAACTTTGATATAGATGGTGAGGGTGAGGCGGGGGATAATTAGTTGAGGTTAGTTGAACTTGTCAGTGTCTTGTGAGCCTCCTGATGTTGTGGGATGTTGTGGGATGTTGTGGGATGTTGTGGGATGTTGTGGGATGTTGTGGGATGTTGTGGGATGTTGTGGAGGATGTTGTGGGATTTGTGGGATGTTGTGGAGGATGTGTGGGATGTTGTGGGATGATGTGGGGATGTTGTGGAGGATGTTGTGGGATGTTGTGGGATGTTGTGGAGGATGTTTGTGGGATGTTGTGGATGTTGTGGAGGATGTTGTGGGATGTTGTGGGATGTTGTGGGATGTTGTGGGATGTTGTGGAGGATGTTGTGGGATGTTGTGGGATGATGTGGGATGTTGTGGAGGATGTTGTGGGATGTTGTGGGATGTTGTGGGATGTTGTGGGATGTTGTGGAGGATGTTGTGGGATGTTGTGGGATGTTGTGGGATGTTGTGGGATGTTGTGGAGGATGTTGTGGGATGTTGTGGGATGTTGTGGGATGTTGTGGAGGATGTTGTGGGATGTTGTGGGATGATGTGGGATGTTGTGGGATGTTGTGGAGGATGTTGTGGGATGTTGTGGGATGTTGTGGGATGTTGTGGGATGATGTGGGATGCTGTGGGATGTTGTGGGATGTTGTGGGATGTTGTGGGATGATGTGGGATGTTGTGGGATGTTGTGGGATGTTGTGGGATGTTGTGGGATGTTGTGGGATGTTGTGGGATGATGTGGGATGTTGTGGGATGTTGTGGGATGTTGTGGGTTGTTGTTGTTGTTAGTCCTGTCCTGCTTGACCTTTCCGTGTCTCGGCCTCCTCCCTCTCCCACGCTCGGCCTCTCCCTCTCTCCCACGCTCGGCCTCCCTCTCTCCCACGCTCGGCCTCTCCCTCTCCCACGCTCGGCCTCTCCCTCTCTCCCACGCTCGGCCTCTCCCTCTCTCCCACGCTCGGCCTCCCCCTCTCCCACGCTCGGCCTCTCCCTCTCTCCCACGCTCGGCCTCTCCCTCTCTCTCCCACGCTCGGCCTCTCCCTCTCTCCCACACTCGGCCTCTCCCTCTCTCCCACGCTCGGCCTCTCCCTCTCTCCCACGCTCGGCCTCTCCCTCTCTCCCACGCTCGGCCTCTCCCTCTCCCACGCTCGGCCTCCCCCTCTCCCACGCTCGGCCTCTCCCTCTCCCACGCTCGGCCTCTCCCTCCCTCTCCCCCTCCTCCACGCTCGGCCTCTCCCTCTCCCACGCTCGGCCTCTCCCTCTCCCACGCTCGGCCTCTACCTCTCTCCCACGCTCGGCCTCTCCCTCTCTCCCACGCTCGGCCTCTCCCTCTCTCCCACGCTCGGCCTCTCCCTCTCTCCCACGCTCGGCCTCTCCCTCTCCCCCACGCTCGGCCTCTCCCCCTCTCCCACGCTCGGCCTCTCCCCCTCTCCCACGCTCGGCCTCTCCCCCTCTCCCACGCTCGGCCTCTCCCCTCTCCCACGCTCGGCCTCTCCCCCTCTCCCACGCTCGGCCTCTCCCCCTCTCCCACGCTCGGCCTCTCCCCCTCCCACGCTCGGCCTCTCCCTCTCCCACGCTAGGCCTCTCCCTCTCCCACGCTCGGCCTCTCCCTCTCTCCCACGCTCGGCCTCTCCCGCTCTCCCACGCTCGGCCTCTCCCTCTCTCCCACGCTCGGCCTCTCCCTCTCGCCCACGCTCGGCCTCTCCCTCTCTCCCACGCTCGGCCTCTCCCTCTCTCCCACGCTCGGCCTCTCCCTCTCTCCCACGCTCGGCCTCCTCCCTCTCCCACGCTCGGCCTCCCCCCTCTCCCACGCTCGGCCTCCCCCCTCTCCCACGCTCGGGCTCCCCCCTCTCCCACGCTCGGCCTCTCCCTCTCCCACGCTCGGCCTCCCCCTCTCCCACGCTCGGCCTCCTCCCTCTCCCACGCTCGGCCTCCTCCCTCTCCC